GCTCGGGTTTTTTTCTCTTCTTGATCCTTGCCGTTTTGCTTCTTGGTGGATCCTGCCTGCGACGCCGTTTGTAGCGTGAAGGCAGAAGACGTTTTAAACAGTATAATTCAATTGGTAACACACTACAAGGCAGGCAGGATCCACCAAGAAGCAAAACGGCAAGGATCAAGAAGAGAAAAAAACCCGAGCGGGCGGAGGAGATGAAGTCAGAAACTAGTGCCGCGATGGGCGTCAGCGAAATGATCAGCCAATTTTTGTCGAAACTTATCACCGGCGTTCTGATCGGAGACGGTTCCGCTACCCCCCGCCACCCGAAAAGTTCACTATCGGCAGAAATTATACTCGTTGGGAAGCGCAGGCTCGTGCTTACGTGCAGAAGTTTCCCGAGTCGGAAAGGAAAGTGGCAATTTTAGGCCTGTTGGCCGGTGAAGCGGCCGATAGGGCCTTCCAGTCGGGTGCATTCGAGAAGGAGGATCTCGATGGGGTCTTTCGAAAACTGCGATGCCTCCTTGACACCACTTCACCCAATCGAGTACCAGTAACAATTCCACTCGGCACGCCAGAACATCGGAGAGACCGTAGAGGCATACGCGTATCGCGCCAAGCAACTGGTGTCCAAGGCTTTTCCCGACGACAACAGCGAAGCCCAGGATAAGCGTGCTGTGGAAAGTTTTGTAGAAGGAGTCAGTGGTGCGTCAGTGAAGAAAGCGCTGATTACAAAATCGCCTAAAAGCCTCAGCGAAGCTATTGCTCTGGCAGGAGAAACGGAGAGGCTACAGCGAGCTGTTCATGGAGCAGAGAGCCTCTGCTTGACCGTGCATCACCAACGACGTCAGCAGCGAGAACCGATCCGGAGACCGTGGGGGCCAAGGCCTCATCAAGGACCGATTAGCGGTAGATACCGCTACAACAAAGACTATGGACGACGATGGAGTGCTCAAAGCGATGACCCGACCCCTCCCAGCGGGCAAAACTACAAGGGAAGCCCCTCACATCCGGTGGCCAGGCGCGACCCAGCGGACCACGGTGAGTATATTATTCCTACTGTGCACACCGCTCACGAAAATTTGACGTTTGATATTGACTTGCTGGTAGAAGCACGACCAGTAAAAGGACTCGTGGATACGGGTGCATCGAGGTCATTATTCGACGTCTCAGTGTTGTATTCCATTTGCAACCCTAGGGTGGACCCGTGGTCGGCTACGCGGGGCAAATGGAAGTACAATCCGGACGGTTGGCGCTGTACACCTTACATTACAGTTTGATGGCGTTACCGTTAAACACCTATTCGTGGTTGCGGAGAAATTGACGATGGGCCTCATCCTGGGGGTTGACATTTTGAGGAGCCTCAATCGCGTCATAGATATGGGGAAACTCGCCGTACGCGCCAAGGAGAGAGCTAGCCAAAACTGCACCAAAAGTGACCGCTGCGGGGCGGTCCACCTAGACAGCGACGGACCTGCCGAGCTCCAGGAGTTTTCCGACAGAATAGAGTTCAACTTGGAAGAACCGATACGAGGGAAGCTCGTTAAGCTCATCCGGGAATACAAAAGTGTCTTTATGCTGAAGGTCGAACCTCTAGGCCAGACTGGATTGGTAAAACATCGGATAGAAACAGGTAACACTGAGCCCATACAGCTGAATGCCCGACGAATTCCGAGTTGCTACACCGAAGAGCTGAACAGAATGATAGAGATGTTAGCGAACAACGTAATCCAGCCGTCACAATCCCCATGGGCCGCCCCAATAGTACTTACTAAAAAGAAGGACGGCAGACTCAGGTTGTGCGTAGACTACAGAAAGCTGAATGAGGCGACTAAGAAAGACCGTTTCCCGTTACCAGTTATGGAAGACATTTTTGACGCTCTTGCAGGAGCAAAGTATTTTTCAACGCTTGACCTAGCACCAGGATACTGGCAAGTGGAGATAGAAGAAAGGAACAGGGAGAAGACCGCGTTCGTCGTTCAAAATGGGCTATACGAATTCCAAACAATGCCTTTCGGTCTGACGAACGCCCCGGACACATTCCAGCGGTTGATGTCGTCAGCATTAAGGGACCTTGTCCCACACAAGTGCCTCGTGTATCTTGATGATGTGGTAGTACGCGGGAGAACGGAGGAAGAGCATTTGGCGAACTTGAAGGCCACATTCGACTGTTTCCTTAAGGTTGGCCTGAAGTTGAAACCGGGGAAATTTAACCTTTTCAGAAAGGAAATTCAGTTTTTGGGCCACGTCATTTCAGTTTGTGGCATTCAGACCGACAAGGAAAAAGTAGACAAAGTAAAGAGCTGGCCGCGGCCTTTTAACGAGTCACAGCTCCGCAGTTTTATGGGCCTAGTATCATACTACCGGCGATTTGTCCCTCGCTTCTCCGGGATTGCCTCCCCACTCTCACAATTGCTACAAAAAGGTACCACCCTGAGGCCGATCGTCTCCCTTCCAGGAACAGCCACATACAATTTGGCAAAAGAATTATGAAACCGACTGAAGCCGCTCATCGCTGGACACGAGTATAACGTCACGAACTCAAGACAGTT